GGCGACCAAATTCGGAGGGGTCAGAACGGATTAACTGTATTTACATTGAACCTTATGGGAATATTTGATTCGGGTCGCGACCAATTTGGGTCGCAACCAGAGTCGCAGAACGAATTAAGTTCGTGAACCAAGGTACCACTGTACTTTTATTTCTGTAACTGTATTTAGACTGGAATGGGCCACAGGTTGTAACTGACCTCCTAGCACAAATCACTTCTTTTCCGTTGCCTTAATCAGGCCTTAGCATTAGCCCCATAGTTACCATCCCACAGTGTTATAGTATGACAGATCAAAGAAATTATGACACAGAAATAAATACATAAATTAGAATCTGACTAGCTTTTCTTTTAATGAGGTATTAAAACCTCTCACAAAACTTGTTCGTGTTTGTATATCTGTGGGTTTTTAAACTATAAATATGTGTTACAAGTGCAGAAAAATTCATCATTTAACATATTACTCTGTTCCCTTTCCTTCATTCCACTTCCCCTTCCTGCATGCATGTTACAAAATAGTTTTGAAAACCATTATGAAACTGATACTTAAATCTGAGCAGATGATAAGCATTAACTATTCATATATTAGGCATTTATAGAGAATCACAAATATCTCTCATCATAGAAATCCTCACAAATTGGATTTGAGTTGTTCCTAGTACATTCTAGTTTAAGGCCCCAGGCAGTAGTAAACTGTGACAAACATTCACTCATGTGGAGACGTTAACACTGTTCCTAATGTGGCATTTTGTATCTAGATTTTCATATGATAAAACAGCTAACCACAGATATCTAGAAAAAAAATTAAAGCATATTATCTGAGTATCATAATTTTGCAATTTCACACAGTAAAATGATGAAGGTTTTCTACAAGTTACATCAGTACACCGATCTTAGCAAACATCAGCCTCTTTCACCCAGCAACAAAAATACAGATCTAATAGGGAACCTGTTAAAGAACTGTATGCCCAAGAACAGCAGGAAGGTGGCACAGCAGTTAACACTTCAGTTAACACAGTTAATACTGTGGTTCACAGGGCCACAAAGCAAATGTTTTCTTAAAAAATTCTCCTTTGGGTATAAAATGATCTCTCACCATAGCATGCTGTCATGCAGATCTATTATTCCTAGACCTAAAAAGAAAATGTGTTTGTGATTTTATGTGTGCAGAATTTGAATCTGAACTAGTATCTCTGTTCTAGTTCATAAGGCACATTTCTGGATATTCTAAAGTATACAAGAATCTTTGTGAAAGACAGTATTTGGTTTCTGTTACTTATTTAGCTACATGTTAATGTCCAGGTTTCTCCCTAGGTTGCTCTGTTCATGCCCCCAGCCAAATGTTAAATTATCATATTACTTACATATCATATAAAGATATGAATTTTTTCCAAATACATATTTCAGGTGCAGTGTGCAGCAATTATCTGAGTGACATTCAAAGAACTCTGAATAGGAGAGTGACCAGAAGTCCACACAGAAACACAACTGGTATTCAGTGTCATATACTTTCACTTGTGTAAGTACATTAATACTGCAATCTTTCACAATTTTATTCAGAAAACCTATTATGTTCAAATGGGCTTACTCACAGATACATGTACCTAGAAATGCAAATTTAGTTGTGGCATTTCTTTTGCAATGCTCTTGCATGTATAAATCTCCCTTCTGTGCACCTGGAAGGGACTTTTGGATCCAATCCATGTAAAGTAGATATATCTAAATACTCTTGATTTACATAATCTGTTTTGAAATGCAGATTCATATGTGAAGCAACAAGTTTCATCAAGAGGTTTTCAAAATTAAAGACACGTTGCAGGATGGGATATGCCTTTTTTCCAAAGCATGCTTCTAGCAAATCTAGATACATAATATTAAATATAATAAATATATTAATTAGCAAGAAAATATTTTGTAGGTAGTGAACTTTCATAGAACTGCTAAATCACTTGCTGATTTGGGAGGGATTCCATTTAAGTAATAAATGAACATTGAATGTTCAATATTTAATTTCCACATCTCTCAAAGAAAACTGTGAAAGACCTCTGTTGGAAACCTCAGAGAGCTATCAGTTGGTTTGCAAGACCAAGCAATGATCTGACTCTGTATAGAGCAGTTTCATATAGACACTGCTATATAAATCAACCACTCCTAATGCAGTTATCTTCTGAAGTTAGCAGCCGGTTCTTTGTAAAATAATGTATCAATGATAATGCCGACCTTAACTTACAAAAGAAGGAACATCTCTGAATATGGTGACCACGGCAGCTCACATATGCAATCAAAAACAAAATAAAAGGTTTTTCTCCTGAAATAGTTTTTATCCATCTGCAACTCAAGGATTACACATACATACACACACACATCTGGAAATAAATCTCATTAAATATAGCTCCATTCAATAATTTCTTCTGAAAAGCATATAGTTAATTGACTAAAATTACATGAAGCTAGCGATAATTCCAGCTTCTTCCTCTTCACCCAGAACAGGATAATTTTAGAAACCCTGCCTAGAGAAAAAGGACAGGAACTAGAAAGAAATATATTTTACAAGAAAAATTTTTAAAAATCCATCCAGATGTAATCATCAAAGTGTATTTTTAAAGGAATAAAATAATTATGTACCTTGCGCAAGCATACTGAACTCCAGGAAAAGTGCTATGTGGTAAAGTTCCATAGCTTCTTCAGCCTTTGTCATGCTTGGCTTTCCTGCTACAAGAGCCTGGACTTCACTTAGACTCCCTACTGACGGACTGCTGTGCAAAATAGAGAGGTCCACCAAATCTGTATACATACAGTTTAAAATTACTCTCACATATTTTTTTGGTATGATAGACTCATCTAGTATAATCCTTGTTGGAGTCCTTAGTGTTCGATCTGTAATTTCTTCACCAGTTCGTATCCTCCTCTGTAGTAGATGCCGGAAAAAAGGTGACCGTGATGAAATAATAGCTTTGTGTGCTCTGAGCTCCTCCTCTAAGCAGCTCTGACTTCCGCCATAAGCCTCAACAAGTTCAGAGTCAGATGAAAAACTGAGAACCACATCATAATAGCACATGTAATCCAACAGCCCTCGCATATCGACATCTAAAGAATTTGGCGTTCCAAATTCCTCACTAAGCTGCACGAGAATGTCAACATTTTGAAACCTTGAATCTTCCATCCCAAATTCACCTGTGTATAGGTAGTGTAGCAAAGCAGAAAACATGGGCAGGTCAATGCCAGCTGTATTGATATCCATTATAATCTCTGCACCATATTCTGGCGAGGAAGAAAGTAGGGTCTTAAAAAATGGGCATCTCGCAGCCAAAATTGCACGATGCACAGGGAAGCAAGTCTCTTGAAATATTAGATCAACATCTGTGCAGTATTTAAACTCATACAGTTCAGCCATGTCTTTCTGAAGCGTCCTGGCTTCTGGTCTTGCCAAACTAGCTTGCAGAGAAAGCTCTTTTAAGGCTGAAGTTCCTTCATACTCTTCCACTAAAGCATTGACATCCCTGACATCCCAGCCTGAGAGGAGCTCACGCATCTGCTTGGCATGATCAGCAGACCTGTTAGACTTTCGGCGCTTAATAAACTTCTTTTTGAGGGTAGCAAGGCCAGAACTTTTCTTTTTCTTATCTTGAGGTTTCTCATGGCCATGCTCAAGGCTATAAAGTTTAGATTCACAGCCATAACCTTGATGGGAATAGGATGATGTTCCTGAAAGAAGAAAAAAAAATTGCCTAAAGCATAGACTTAGGGTGAAAAAAATGAATGAAATGCATAAATACAATTTTTAAACTCTTATATGGAACATCTGCAAATGTTCAGAATAGTTTACAGTAAACTAGTAAAATGTAGTTATAAAGATGAAATTTTGTACAAAAGCTTTAAATACAGATAATAGTGGAAAATCTATCATTTGACTACCCAGATCTATCCAAACCAACAAACAGATAGGAATCAAGACTGGCAGTTTTTAACTTTCAAGATCCCAAACTTTCATTTAATTCTAATTTGCAAAACATGGAGATTTTGAAAAATAAAGTATATTTGCTTTACTTCTTTTTCTTTCTATCTGTCTTAAAATAGCGATGGCAGTATTCTAGGAACAGATTTTAGTCAGTATGGTTATACTAAAAGGAAAATATTTTTTTAAAAAATGAACAAATTTTCTCTTTTTACTGGTGTAAAAAAGAATTGGCCTGAATCATCTATCTTTCATCTGGAATATGTAACTGACTGGAAAAATCCTAGCTGCATTCCTGCGGTTTTGCTATTTTTGTCTATCCCATGTCTTTCATTTTTCCATTTTTGTGGATTAATCTTGTTTGCCAGTTGGAGAGAGCTAATACACTAAGATATCTTGTAAGATTTGCAAGGAAAAAAATATTAAAAGACATCTAACATAAACAATTACTGAATTCTGCTTGTATCTCTCATTAACTTCCAAGCCTTGCTTATCCTTTCTTTTATGTGATCTTCTATGAAAGCTTGGCATATAATATCTATGGCTGTGCATCTAACATTTTGAAAGATTTCTAGCCCTGTGGCAAAACTAAAAAATCTACCTTCAATCTTAATTTTTTTAGTCTTATTTTCATCTAGCCTGATGCATGTTTAACTATACTTATTCTAACTACAGCAATGTCTGATTTAAATTAATACCATACAGTTCCTTATGTTTGAAGGTTTTCCTTTGACTTTTCCTTGTTGACTCCTTTGTAATTTTGCAAGTAGATTACAGAACTGGCCAAAACATGCACAGAGTTTTAATACATTAACAAAGGCTATGTTATAGCTATGATCTCTTTAAGGTTTGTTGCATAACATTTATCTCTCTCCTAAGCCTATAAGCTACCACAGGAAATAACTGTTATAAGACCTAGGGCACACTTTCTCAACTGAAACGTTAGACTCTCTTGCTAATCTGGTCATGGGGCCAAGTAATCTTATACAATTCAAGTAAAAACACAGATGACATTCAACAGATAGGTAATAAAAATAATTCATTTATTAAAGTGAGGTTTTAATATAGATGAATGCATAAATATACAGCTTAAAAACAAGTATATTTTACTTCTGTAAAATCCTTTTTGGTGTTCAGCTTGGATACCTTAGCAGGGCCCATAAATTTATACATTTCAAAAGATCCATTTTATTAAACATTTCAAACACTGAGCTGATCACAAGAGGTCAGTTCTTAACATGGTTCCTTATCCATCTATCTGTAAACACACACAGCCATGATTTACTTCTGTTAAGAATACTGCATGATTAGACAAAAATATAGGTCCATCCCTCTAATATTAACAAATAATTCTTAGGAGGAGATCTTGTAAAAAGTCAACTGGAACTTGACAAAGCAAAAACAAAATCATATATTCTGACAGTAGATGCTGGAATTTAAACTGGGAGAATCTAGGATAGGAAAGAATATTGCCCAATCTGGTAACAGGTAGCAAATTAATTAACATTTCATCATGGAAATTTGACATGTAAACTATAAATAATCCACACAATGTAACAAAAATAAATGAAATTTCTCTATAATCTAGCAGGATTGTGCTAATTTGAAAGTTTGTTGTTGTTGTTGTTGTTCAGTCGTTAAGTCGTGTCCGACTCTTCGTGACCCCATGAACCATATTGCGCCAGGCTTTCCTG